TKGSYYTWCASWAGGCTCATTTGCWTGCACCTCCTGACTCTGGGCTTCCTGTGGTGGAGAAGTGGGATGGAATGGGCCCATTTCTCATGTCCTCATACCCTCAGTTGGGAAGCCCAGCTTGGTCACCTGCAGCTGGGAGGCCAAAGATGATTTTTGAGATGTACTGGGATTTTAAAATATTGCAGGAATGTGTTTCAGGCAAAAAAAAAAACAGCTTTGGAATGCTGGCCTTGTGCYTGCCAGATTTTGGAATAACTTGGAAAACATCTATTGGTCATTTACTTTAATTTCCTTTGTTTTTGTTCCTGTTYTCTAGGTTGTAACATTGATTTTGTCTGATATCATTGGAGATCCTCTGGATATGATTGCAAGTGGCCCAACTGTGKTAGACTCTTCAACTCCTACTGATTGCTTGAATATTATTGCTAAACTTAAAGCTGAAAACAAAGTGCCACCTGTAGTCATGAAATATTTGAGAGATAATGAAAAGAATGCTGCCTCAAAAAAAGATGAAAACAGTTTTTCTCATGTCAAAAATGTCTTGGTCGGAACAAACAGAATTGCTGTTAAAGCAGCTGCCAAAGAGGCAAAAGACCTTGGATACTCACCAATTGTAGCATCAACACAGCTAGATGGAGTAGCCAGAGAAGTTGGAGTTGGGTTTGCAAATCTTGCTAGTGTAGCTTTGACAGGAGAAAGACTTGATAGTAGTATACCCCCTGGWGGTGTGGAGYTGCTGAAWGATAATTTGGTCAATGAAGTCAAGAGTTCACAAAAACCATTATGTGTTRTTGGTGCAGGAGAAACCACCGTTAATATCAAAGGGACTGGTATTGGTGGCAGAAATCAGGAAATGGCTCTATCMTGTGCTCTGAGGATGCATAATTCAAYCCTTAACTCACCCGCCAAGAAGGAGGATGTTGTTTTTCTCAGCGCTGGAACTGATGGACAAGATGGGCCATGTCCTGCTGCTGGTGCTCTTGCTGKGCCWAGYCAGGTTTCTGAAGCTATWGCTGATGGGCTTGACCCTCAGGGAACCATAGACAACAACGATTCRTTYACTTTCTACTCTGGCTTTAAAAATGGTCGTGACCATATTGTAACWGGTCTGACTGGTACTAATGTCATGGACATTCAGGTTCTTCTAGTTGACTCTCCACAGGAGAAATAGAGTCTAGGGTAAGAAGGAGAAAATTMAGTGTGAAAAAAATGTAAAAGTATGCTTTCTTGAATTTAGATAGGTTTCCTTTTTTTGAATTCATTGTACATATTCCTAGGTATTCTATCAATTATAACTATTATTAACTTATTGGCCTTGAAAGGTAATAGGCCGCAATTTGATAAATTTCGATCAAGTCATTGATGTTGGTTTGCYATAAARATWMTGTAAAAACACAAGATAAAAGTTATRTGAGAATATAGTGAGRGTGACTTWAACTGAGCTTTTGTGATCATTTTGTACTAGTACATCAAGAAGGTTCAATTGCTTCACAAGAATATCAGTGAAATTTCAGTTGTGAAGTTTAACTTTACAGAACATCAAATTGAATGAATTTCTTAAAAATTCATTCCTGTTTTATTATTTTGATGCTTGCAATATTTTTTTTAATGCTAAAAAAAACAATGAAAAAGGTGTATTCCTGCTTCTAATAAGGAAAATTGAACTTTTGTTATAATATTGAATATTTACAATAATTGTTAAATTATAAATTCAAATGGGCCTCATGGGTAGATGGTCTTTATTCACATATGACTTGATCCTTGACAAGTATTGCTAAAGTTAGAATTCAACTAAGTTATTAGCTTGAGTATCATGCTCTTTTGAAGGGGTTTGGGGAAGAGTGAAAAAGGAGAGAGAGCTCTCTCCCCTTTTTTGCTCTGCCCCTAACCCCTTCAAGAGAGCCTGATAYTCAGGCTACTAAGTTATGAATTGAACCAATCAATTAAATAATGATACTGATTATAATTATAATAATACTGTGTTCATATTCAAAATATTAATGCTGCATCTACTGCATGACTTGTATGGTAATGAAACAACATTGAATATTTCCCGGGGGGGGGGGGGGGGGGGGGGTACTCCCCCGAAACTTGTGTGGGGGTGTGCCGCTGGGACCTCAAAACCCTGACTCTGTTCCAGAGTAAAATCGCTTAAAACGATACCCTGTTCCAGAGTAAAATCCTGCACTAGCTTGCGTCACGTACACCGAATTTTTACCCCATGAATTTTTATCCAGCACCAATTATTCCGGAATACTCCGATTTCGAGTTCTGGTTTGCTCTGTGTTAGCCTCAAAACCAAGCAACATATTCTTTTGTTTCATTGATAGCCCGAGAAAACGCATGGAATTTGAAAAGAAAGACAATGGAATTGATTTGAAATCTCACACTTTTATTCTCACAATTAGGAATGTTTTGCGCACAAATGAGGCTAACACAGAGCATTGGAGAATTCGCAACTGGATTATTCAACCCTGACCCTGTTCGAGAGAAAATTCGTTGAAATCGATACCCTGTTCCAGAGTAAAATCGCTAAAATCGATACCCTGTTCCAGAGAAAATTCGTTGAAATCGATAACCTGTTCCAGAGTAAAATCGCTAAAATCGATACCCAGTTCCAGAGTAAAATCGCTGAAAACGATAACCTAGCTGGTGGCACGTCCCCGTATAGCGAATATAGGGGAGTACGCCCCCCGGGGAATATTTTAACTTACACTGTATTAAAATTTAGTGCATAAACAATGGCACTTGAATAATAAAATTTTATCAGAAATAAGAAGAAGGACTTTGATTCCATTGTCAGTGAAAATCATTTTGTAGTCAATAAAGATATAAGACTGGCACATACTAGGTACTTTCAACCTAACCATCATCGCTCTGTACTTAGTGGAGGGGGACAAAGGTACAGGGGTACAAGGAGAAATGGGATTGAATGCACTGTAACTGGGATTCAATTCTGGAACTGGGATKTCCAAATACAAGAACAATAGAAACTGGGAAGGATTGAAAACTTGAAAAAAAAATTCCAAATAGGTTTCTGCTATTACCCGTTGAGTCTTTTGTTGCTTTCATTAATTGTTCCTATGCGCTTTTATTAATCTTATTCATTTTTTTTTTCTTGTTCTTTTTCTCTTTTTTCCTTAATATTTCCTAATTTTCTTAACATTTCTTTTGTTTCTAATATTTTTCTTATCATCGGGAGTCGAAAGAAAGTCCTACTAAAGTAATTCCGATCCATTAGTCCTGTGTCCTTTGTTCCTGTAACGATGAAATATCCATATTTGGAGGTGACGCTTGAGTGGTTAGCGTTGTAATGCCTGGGTAACCGWCAAGGRAGATTTGTGTAATGCCTAAACCAGTAAATTTGAACTGAAGAATGTCAAAATGTAGTGTTCTTCAAAATGATTGTTTCTTGAGTCTCAAGTTGAGCGTGTCAAGGTTATTCAAAATTAGCTAGAATAAGTCCTCTTCTTGACTGGGAGACAAATTTAAGGTAAGTTTGTAATAAAATATGTGGTCGCTGGCAACGTTTTCAAAGCCAACGACATTTTTCTGAAACTCTTAATACAGCTGCGACAATAGCTRAACCTTTACGTTTGYTTAGAAATCTGATTCTGATAGCCATCAGCTATTGAAGTTCTTTATTTTATTCAAGGTATACACATGTATTTTTGGACGAATAAATAGCTTCGCAGTCCTRGCGTTCAAATAGGAATTGATATTGTGGAGTTTACACAAAGTTGTGTCACATATCGATATTTTGTATACTTTGTATTTATCTGATGTTCAGTCTAAGAGAACTTATTATACTTTGCTTGGAATTCAGTGATTTTAATATACAGATTTTAAAAGTTTAGTRTTCTTACAAACATTGGTCAAAATTAGCAGGTTAGAATGAACTAGAKAACGTACCTGCAAGCGATCGTTATAAATTTTGTCTTTTTATTCATATAATTTATAACGGCAAACACCCTGTAATAACATTGTATCTTCCYCAAACTGTGGGTGTTATTCCGTTATTTTTGATCAAGTATTCTAGAACGTAAGCTTAAGCTTAAATCATTYCAAATCATTCTCAAGGTACAAAACCACTGAGATTATCCTGTATTCGTCGATTTAACACAATCTTGGATGTGAAAGACGATATTAAATATTTATTAAATAATACCAGACAAAAATACTGGTAGCTCATATTCTTATATTTCCAAAATTCTAAGAAAGTCATTCCAAAACACGAAACTATGAAGCTGTATGACTTGTGCGCGCTGATCGATTTCAAGTTTGACATTTCATGTCACGCGCATTATTAGTTGTCTTGGATGCGCGGTTGAAATTTCGATACTCTCGGCGAATATAAATGATTCAAGAAAATTAKCTTATAAAGTTTAATAATCAGAAATGACCATTTATAAATAAACCTTCCATGTTAATATCTAACTTCATTTGCCCAACTGCCAAAATGTAATCCAAGCGTTTATATCGTTTCCTAGCTACCACATTGTTTATGTACCGGAAATTATGTAAAAGTGCAGATGCGTTGTATCTTGTCGGAGCATCTAGGGTATTTTTATCGTTGTTCTACTCCATCCCCTGGGTAATCTTATATTTTTTTATGATAACATTATTGGTAGATTACTYTATTCACTGAAGTCGATTGTCGGTCCAGCTAACCACAATGTCGATCTGATTGCGTGAATTCTAAAAATAGATACAGTGTGTACCGCACATTGAATTCTTTCAGTTGTTAATCGACAGAYCATTAGTGTGAAGTCTTTTGAATGGTTAGTAACTTTTAGAGTAATTTTCTGTTCGTCTGATTACAACTTTACGGTGACTAAAGTCAGGWATATTTTTCCATCGCTGCGCATTTTTGATGTAATTGTATTTTTATGTTCTTTTGAATTATTACATTCTTTTTTTTATTCTTTCAGGCACAAATAATGTACAGGAAATAAAATGGACAGCATTATGTATGAACAAGGATGTGCTTCTTGCTCAAGAAGACAATTTCCCATCAAGAATTATCCAAACCAAGATAGCAACACTATGAATTGTACAGACACTTATAAAAGAACTCAAAGATACCAAACAAAAAAGTCAAGATATCTTTATTCATGGAGAACTTTTGTAAATCCTATTTCTGCAACATTTTTAAACAGTATTTTATCCTTTTTAATGCTTTTATCAAGACTTTTATATAATTGTAACAGAAGAAGCTATAAGAGAACGTTTGTACAAAGTATTTTATTCTTATTTGGACTGACTTTGTTGGCAAATACTTCATTWTGTCARCATWTATCGCAGCAAGAGACAAAGCTAATGGATGCAATAGTACCAATTGGGACTCATTTTACATACAAGATACCTTCCAGTCAATTTGACTGTGATTTCCACAGACTTGAGGTGGGTACACTGTACTTCAAACTTCCTGATSATGAAGCAGACATTTTGCAAAAGACAGGAGATTTTTATCAGTCTGTCAAATTTGAAATGCTTTGGCTGGCGTATTGGAATAATGATGATAACACAAATAAGTTACCGTCAGCTTTATAAATTCATTTACTAGGTCTTGTGTTTATCTGTGCTGTGAATAAGAAAATAGGTAACTGTCATCATTGTTTGAAGAAGCTCTTTCCCTATCCCAGAAAATCCAACATAGTTCAAATAAAAGATAATGGAACTAATTGTTAAAGGTTATTTCAGTGACTTCAAATTAATGAACGCATTAGAAATGTCCAGTTTTCAGAGATATCCTGTCCGTCACCACATTTGCACACACATATTTATATCAAGAGTTGAATTACTCCGATTATATAAACCAATTTTTTGGTGCCGGTACATATGTCATTTTTGTGTACATTGCTCTTAGTTATTGGAGCCTCATTTGGCATGTTTGAAGGTCATGGCTCCCAAAAGTCTCCTTGCCAAGGCAAACATTTGTGTTCTTTGGATAATGGGATCTGTGGATCTTATATAATTTGTGGCCAAGATGCTAATTGAATTCAAATGCATACATTTAGCTGTCATACTTTAGTCCTTTGTTGACTCATTATAAACTTTGTTTCCTATATTTATTAAATCAATATTAATTAGTAAAATATTGTGTGTGTTTTTTCTGCTTCTCGCTAGATCAATTATACAATTATTATCAAATCATTACRAACTAACAAGTATTATTATAAATAAATTTTTTCATTTCTCAAAATGTGCCACTTTGAATTCATGTTTAGGTGTCAGAGGGAAGTACAAGATCTCTACCCAACTGGCTTGCTTACAGTCARGTCAAKCAAGAACTATATGGAGTAGCCTCATTAAAAGATGTTGGGACAAATGAAATACTAGTAGTAGCTATAACAAACAGTTCTACAGGGACTGGAAGGATTTGTGGTATTAGAGCATTTAGTATAAAAGTACTGGAAAGTGATAGTTCCTCTGATGTGARGACTGTTTTATCATCAGTCACAGTCGCAACACCATTACAAGCAGACCATGGTMATTTTCAGTGTCCTCCTGGTACACAGGCCATCATTGCTACTGTSCTGTTTAGTGRAAACCTCCATGAAATGACTGGCCATGAGCGTATRGTTACTCTAACTTCAATGGCAGATCATTTAAATGTTCCATCAAGTAAAGTTGCACTTTTTTCGGCTGATAATGGACACCCACTGTTGTCTGAACTACAGCAGCTTTCTGTGTTRAGCTCTGGTGCAGGAGATGCTAGATTYAAGCCTGGATCAAAGAGTCTTCTKACTTGGATGCTTAGTTGTGGTGCTATCAGACTTAGYGATTCTTACCTTACAGAACTAGAGAGCAAAGCAAAGGATGGAACACTGACTGAAGTACTTGGGCATCCTATTGTTGGCTGGCATGTGACATCAGGGGTTCAAAAGTCTAGACACAGAGTACGACGTGCRGCTGCTGCCACGCCTACTCCTATAGCAACAAGTGTTGCACCAACACGAGTAATAAGAAGCTCCACAATTATCATAAATGAAACTAGTTCTTTATCGATATCTTCATTTGTCATGAGAAATTCAACAGTTCTGCCAATCACTACTATTTATAGCTCTCCCTCTTCGTCAGTCATTCTCTCCTCAACTGTGGAGTATTCTTTGAATGTATCAAGTGAGATCACAGCTTCAAGCTCAGTATCCAATATGTCAAGTTTGCCTGTACCATCCTCATTGACAACAACAGTAGCACCACCAATGCCATCTACTGTGACAGCGAACCTTAGTAGTCAAATTAACTCTACTGTGCAAATAACACCTTCATCAAGTTTTGAATCCAGCTTTACTGGCATGAATGAAACTAGCTACGTTGCACCATCTACAACACCATATATCAATGCTTCAGCAACTTCAATACTATCAAATAGTACTTTGGTCCTTAATTCTTCCACTGCTGGCAGCAGTTTTTCTATGAACTCTACAATGTACATCACACCAAGTCCATCTGCAACACTTCAAATTAATGCTTCAGCAACGTCTATGCTGTCAAATAGTACTTTGGTCCTTAATTCTTCCACTGTTGACAGCAGTTTTTCTATGAACTCTACAATGTACATCACACCAAGTCCATCTGCAACACTTCAAATTAATGCTTCAGCAACGTCTATGCTGTCAAATAGTACTTTGGTCCTTAATTCTTCCACTGTTGACAGCAGTTTTTCAATGAACTCTACTCTGTACATGACACCAAGTCCATCTGTAACACTTCAAATTAATGCTTCATCAACTTCTGTACTATCCAATAGTACTTTGGTCCAGCTCATTTCTTCCACTGTTGGTAGCCGTTTTTCTATGAACTCAACAATCTACATCACAACAAGTTCTTCTGCACTGTYCAATAGTACTTTGGTCCACCTCAATTCTTCCACTTTYGTTAGCAGTTTTTCTATGAACTCTACTATGTACATCACGCCAAGTCCATCAATGACACCACAAGTGAATGCTTCTGCAACTTCAGTTTTACCAAATAGTACTTTGGTCCAGCTCAACTCTTCAACTGTCAGTAGCAGCATTTATATGAACTCTACTATGTCYATCACACCAAGTCCATCTACCTCCTTCACAGAGAATTCAACAGCATYAAATTCCACATCTGTATTTCAAAGCATGGTTTCAATTTTACCAAACACAACTTCATATTTGCCAAGCAGCTTTGTCAACTCCTCATTGGTTGTGTCTTCTGTATCACTAAATGAAACTACATCAATGGGAATAAACTCTACTGTATCTGAAATAGTGAGCAGCACTCAGAGTATCAATATGACAAGCTCCATTCAGCCTAGTTTCCAAACATCATCTGTGGTTCTACCTTCCTCCACTTTGTCCCCAAGTGTGACTCAAAATATGACAAGCAACATGACTCTGTCCTCCAGTTCTGTGTTTCCTGATAGAACAAGTAGCATCAGTGCYAGTTCAGTCAACTTGACTTCAGCAACTCTGGCTAGTAATACCAGTGGCTCCATATCATTATTACCAAGTATTTCAACTGTACCAGTGGTGACAACAGTTAATATATCATCTGTGTAAGTGTGACAAGAGATTGATCATTTATAAAACAGGAAATATGCAAGTGAAGATGTTAATCCTTCATTTTAAACATCCTTAGTAATGCTAGCCTGGGTCAAATCCAAACCTTTCCTACCACAGAATACATGGCCTGTTTCCCTAGAAACTGCATAGATTACATTTTAACATTTTTAGTGAAGCAAAAKGTGAGTTTTCTTTTCTATTTTTTCAGGATATCCCCAACTGTGATGAACACAAGTTTGGTTGACGGTAAGTTATATGAGTGCATTATAGAATGCATGTCTGGAAAGCAAGTCTTCCTGGTAAAGTCACATACAGCAGTCTCTTTTTTTCAACTCACTTCATCATTTTTACATGTGACATCAGGAATGCCTTTTTTCAGACTAGTACAATGCATGAGTTTCAAAGCTTAGTTTTGCCACAGATTTTCTGAAGGGTTATACTAAAATGGGCAAGTTAAAAACAGCTACATTTGCATTAAATCTTACCTGGTCAAGCATCAGTGCATTTGCATTAAATCTTACCTGGTCAAGCATCAGTGCTGCAACAGCTATGGAGTTTGATTTTATTGATTTAATTTGTGAGGTTATTTCTTTGGCTAAAGAATGTTGATATCATGACATGAAAAACTTGAAATGGTGAATTGTCACAAAGTGTATATTATGCTGTGAATGCTTATGATTATTATTGTGTATTATATATGTTTTTTTATTGCATGCTTTTGTGCATGCATATTTATGCAATAGTCAATTCAAACACGCTCTACAAGATTCTCAGAGAGTCGTAAACTCTTACTAGGTCCAGAATTACATGGGCAACTCTGTGGAAACGGTTAGAACTTACGTAGCACGCAGTCAGAGTTTGAATTGACTTATGCATAACACATCAATAAATGCACTTAAACACCTTTAAAAATGCATTATTAACGTAATCTCACGTAAAATTGCAACATAACGTATYTCATCAACACATGATAAATTCTAACTCACGATAGCTTCCACGTTAAGCATTAATTTACGTAAGCATCCACATAATCATCCACGTAAAAATTCACGTAACTCAGTACTCAGTC